CTGGTGCTGTGGCAGCGGGGGGGCAGGCTGGCAGGGAGGGAGGAGAGCTGGGCCACCAGTGCTGGCAGCTGGCCACCAGTGCCTGCTCACTGCCCCCCTTCCCCCCGGGCAGCCACTCGGAGCTAGGAGACAGCCGAGGGGGACACAAATTCACACACACAAATTCAGCCCTCTCTTCATGGTGTCAGCAAAGCCTTGCAAGGCACTGACAGTGGTACCTGCTCCATCCAGAGCAGGGGTCCCCCTTCCCCTCCCTGCCAAAGCCCTTGGCCAGCCTGCAGCTCTCCCTGATGCTTTCAGGGGGGAGTGAAGGCACAGAGCCCCCCATTCCTGCCCGCTGCGACACAAATTCACACACACAAATTCAGCCCTCTCTTCATGGTGTCAGCAAAGCCTTGCAAGGCACTGACAGTGGTACCTGCTCCATCCAGAGCAGGGGTCCCCCTTCCCCTCCCTGCCAAAGCCCTTGGCCAGCCTGCAGCTCTCCCTGATGCTTTCAGGGGGGAGTGAAGGCACAGAGCCCCCCATTCCTGCCCGCTGCCTGGCAAGCAGCAGCAAGAAAATGCAGGGGACCTGGCACGTCCTGTCCTCAGCCTGTGGTTACAGACAGACCCACATCCCAGCCGTGTCCTCACCTTCCCTGTGGCTTCCAGCCCGGCCTCTCCAAAAGAAAACCTGCATCTCCCTGGGAAAACTTGATCCTCCCCACCCGCTGCAAATCCACCCTGGCACTGGTGGAGGGATTGGCTGCTCTGAAGTGTTTTCTCATCTCAGGTTTCCGACAACCCCGACAGCATTGCAGAGAGGTCAAACCACGCACAAATCCAGCCAAGAACAAAAGGAACATCTACCTACTGTGCTCCAGGGCTGCCTGCACCCCAGCAGCACCTGCTGGTCCCGGCTGCTGCTTCAGCCACTGCCCTGACACCGTGGGGGACCCCAAGCCCCCCCCTTCCTCCAGACCCCTCCTGCCCACACAGGGCCAGAAGCCAGACCCGAGTGGGACAGGGGGTCCGTCTCCCCAGCCACTTGGCCATCACCTCTGTCATCTCACGTGGTTCAGGCCACTGTGTCCCAGTCCCCTCAGAGTTCAGAGCATGTGGGGATGGAGGAATGTGCTCCCAGGCTCTACAACTCTCCCTGTTAACAAAAGGAGCAAACTCGGAGGGGCTGAGCCAGCTGGAGAAATATGGCAGTTGACTTGCCACTTTGTCAGGCATTGGTCCAAACTAATTTCCCTGGCAGAGAGCCTGTGATGACTAGATTGATAAATCTGAAGAGGGAAAGCAAATTAACACTGGAACAAAAGGGGAACCAAGGAAGGGTGAAAATACTCCTCTGGCTTCAGGAAAGGAAAAGAGGATTAAAAAAAAAAAAAAAAAAAGAGAATAGAAAAGAGAGACAATCTATTTGCCTCTGGGCTCCAGCTCGGGCTGTTTCCTCCACGCTCTCTCCTGTGTCTGTGACCCCAGGGAACTGCTGCTGGAGGCACAGAGGTATGTGTGCATGGCTCATGGCCAGGCTCCGAGAGGTGCTTTGGGGTGGCAGGGAGGAGGCCTGTCCCGAGGCACCCACCAGAACTCAAAAGCCATGACCTGACAGCCCCTTTGCACGCTAGGACTCCAGAGCTGTGCTATGTCTCCTGTGCCATTAGAGCACCACAGGGGCAAGAGAGATAATTTTCCAACACAGTCTCCATTCTCAGCCTCTTCCCCACCACCCCTGCTGCTGGCCTGGGCCCCACCTCACTTACCTGCTTGTGCATTTCAATGTTCAGCCCGTAGGACATCTCATAGTACTGAGAGCAAAATCACAGCACAGCCTGGTTAGAAGCTGCCCGCAGCAACTGGCCCATTCCCAGCCCAGAGGTCGGCAGCCAGCCCTGCTCCCTGCAGCCCACCTCCTCCACTGCTGAGGAGGGTTCCTGTGCCCTTGGCCCATGAGAAACAGCTGCTCAGCACACCATGGGCCACAAGCCTGGGACAAGGTAGGTAGCTGCCACACTGGAGACTGTTTAAAACCTCTGATGATTGTATTGCAATTTCTACATCAGTTTGAGCCAGAGTAAGTCAGCCCCATTGCCCCCTGCATCCCCATTGGTCCTGGTCCTGGCCTGGGGAGATCTCTTAAAAGGCCAAACAGAAAATGGAAAAAAAGAAAATAAAAGAGACAAAACCTATGGCAGGATTCCTGGGCTCCAGCAGCACCGAGTGGCACAGAGATCAGCAGAAGAGTCAGCTGTTGCTAGGAATAACAATTAACTCCTTCCTAACTCGCGCAGCCCCCAGCCCCACCACCCAGGCCAGACCCACACCACCAAACCCCAGCAGGGTCAGCTCGGGAAGGCCACTGCACTTTTGGGCAAGCAGCTGAGGGGAGCCCCAGAGCCTGGGACCTCACGGGAGGGTGGCAGCCAGGGATGCTCAGGGGGGGCAGGATGACAGGGCAGGGGTAGCTCACCATGACATAATGTCTTTGCATCTCTGTCTTCTCGCTCAGCAGCTTCTCACATTCCAGCTTCAGGCTGCAAAGAGGATCCATGATTTATCATTCTTACCATTCACAGACCCACAGCTCCTGCCCCGTTCCCCAGTCCCCACTTTCCACATCTCCTGCCTCCCCCTGCAGTCTCATGGGGTACTGTGGGTGTCCTAACTGGCATTGCCAGCCCTAGGAACCCGACCCCCTGCCCATACACCCCTGCTCCTCCACGCACCATCCCTCACCCCCCAGGTTCCCACAGCACTGGTGCTGTCCCCACCACATTGCCTTATATCCAACTCAGTCAGAAGAAACAAACTGTGGGTGCTCTCTACCTTGGGACCCCCACTCAAGAACTGGTGCCCCAATACACAGCTTCATGCTACTCCTCAGCCTAAACCCCCCTCCCATTCTTGCCCGAGAAAGATCCATCTTCTGCTCCAAATCACCCCCTGGTCTGCATCCCATGCCTGGACATCCCTCTCCTCACGCCCTCAGTTACACCCCTCCACCTGGGGCTCAGCCCTGCCCACAGCCCTGCCAGACCCCCACTCCCATTCTTGCCCGAGAAAGATCCATCTTCTGCTCCAAATCACCCCCTGGTCTGCATCCCATGCCTGGACATCCCTCTCCTCACGCCCTCAGTTACACCCCTCCACCTGGGGCTCACCTCTGCCCACAGCCCTGCCAGACCCCCACGCCCCCTTCTGCCCCCTAAGCCACCCCACCTCCCGCCCTAGTTCCCCATCTAAATCAGCCCCCTCCGCGCCCGCACCTGCTTTCCCGACCCTCCAGCCCCGTTCCGCCGATCCTCACCTGTGGTATTGAGCTTGCAGGAACTGGAACTCCTCCTTGATGCGGTCGCAGATTTCCGGGACCGAAAACTTGAAGGGCTGCCCGGGCTGGAGAGGGGTCTGGGGA